AAAAAAAAAAAAAAAAAAATCACTTTAACCTCTTCAAAACCAATTCAGTAATCTCTATTTTATATGATTGTTAGAGAGCACAACTATATCAACAAGGTGGTTGCATGATAAAAAAAAAAAGTACGACTTTGAAGTTAGAAATTTAAACTTCTTTTTCTCTAGCGTAGAAATTCGGACCTATGGTCCTAATTGAACCAAACAGAACAAAATTTATATCGATTTCATACGATTACTTAGTTTAGGCCAAAATCTTACGCACCATATGAGCAAGCCCGACAAAATCTTATGCACATAGGAGCATGCCCGACAAAATCCTTGATAGCCTCCTTGATTTCTCGATAAAGAGAAATATGACAACAGTAGTTTGAATGTATATACAAAGAATTTTCAAAGACGTTAGAAATTTAAATCCTTCATCCCATGAAAACTCCATCCTTCCCAAATATAATATAATGATTAATTTATAAAATTCTCAAAATAAATGAATAAAACATTAACATCCACACATCTTAAATTAAATCATACGTCATCATCATGATAAAAAATTGTATACACTGTTTATTGTGCATAAACCAATGGTAGTACATTTCTATCAACAATTAAAAATGGTATGAGAAAAAAAATTGCCAAGCAGCTCTTATTGCAAGTAAACATCACCAGGACCAATATGCAGAATAGGGAAAGGGGAAAAATACCAGCATAAATAATTAAGAAATGGAAGAGAGATGAAGTTAGTAGGGAACCTTCCCATGTTGTTGCGGTCGATGAAGAGAAGCCATTAAGCCATACTAATGTTCCAGGCCTGAATAAGTAACAAGATTTTTAACCTTTTTGTTTTCTGTATGGAGACAATTCGACCTCAAGGCGACTGATTTCATCCTGTAGATCTTGTGAACTCATTCTTCTCTGCCTACTCGTCTTGTCATCGCTAATCAGGATCGAGAGACGCTTCAAACAAGAGAAGTACTCAGCCTTGACTTCAGGAGTTTCAAAAGTTGAACCTTTGAACTGCATTTGTGTGATCATTCATAATTTGGTTCAAGATATTTAGAACATGTTCAAATACAAATGTACCAATGTTTTTGAGACCCCTAATTGTTAACACGTATTAAAGAGTGGGTAAAAAGGGGATGTAACAGTTACTTCAGGCTGTTCTTCAAGACCATAAATTCCATGAGCATTGTAGAGAGTATTTTAAATGTAATTTTATACAATAGTTGATAAACCTATTCCACAAAAATGCATCCAACCATATTTCGAAGTCTCTTTTTGGTTTGAAAGTTTGAATCTTAGAACATAACTAATGTCTCCAGAGTTATATTCAAGTCGGCTATTTCAAGTCATTTTTGTTAGATGATGAAAGTTCCACATCAGCTAATTTAGGGAACGATTATGGATTTATAATCAAAGAATTGTTAGGCAAACACGACTCTCCACAATGGTATGATATTGTTCACTTTGAGCATAAGCTCTCATGGTTTTGCTTTGGGCTTCCCCAAAAGGCCTTATTCCAATAGAGAGAGTATTCTTTGATTATAAATCCATGATCATTCCCTAAGTTAGCTGATGTGAGACTTTCATCATCTAACACCTCCCCTCGAACAAAGTACGCCTCCCTTTAATCGAGACTCGATTCCTTTTTCTTTTGGAGTCTTAGTCAATTTTTACTATGCCTTCGAGGAGGCTCGACTCCTTTTCTTTTGGAGTCCTTTGTTCGACATTTGAGGATTTACCAATCTATTGGCACGACTAAGTTTAGGGCATGACTCTGATACCATGTTAGACGAACACGACTCTCCACAATGGTATGATATTGTTCACTTTGAGCATAAACTTTCATGGCTTTGCTTTGGGCTTCCCCAAAAGGCCTCATTCCAATGGAGAGAGTATTCTTTGATTATAAATCCATGATCATTCCCTAAATTCGCCGATGTGGGACTTTCATCATCTAACAGGAGTCCAACCCTCCTCGAAGGCATAGTAAAAAATGACTAGGAGTTGAACCTCGATTAAGGGGAGACGTACTTTGTTTGAGAGGAGGTGTTAGATGATGAAAGTTCCACATCGACTAATTTAGGGAATGATCATGGATTATAATCAAAGAATACTCTCTCCATTGGAATGAGGCCTTTTGGAGAAGCCCAAAGCAAAACCATGAGAGTTTATGCTTAAAGTGGACAATATCATACTATTGTGAAGAGTCGTGTTCGTCTAATAATTTTAATAACATGAGTGAAGAACCAAGCCCGACGACAGAAAATAATTTTTATGTTTCAATACAGATTTTAAGAAAATATAGTCATAAAATAAAATTTTAGCTAAAAGAATTCACTTGAAAATGGTACTATCAATAAAACTACTGGAGATGTAAAGCATTTATATCAGCATTCTAAAAAACTGGAATGGTTAGACATTTCCTAGAACAAAATTTAAGTATCATTTCGTAATGGTTTCATAAAATTGTCATTGTGAACATACACTTATATATCCAGCCTGTGTATAGGGATTGATTAGCAATAGAAATAAAGGTTGGTTTGATAATAATTTCAAAATGTTGACTAGATTTTAAGAACAGAAAATAGTAATAACAATTAAGTTTTAGAAAACTAGGTTTCGGAAATGCATCTACAAAGTAAATCACAAATCAAAGAGATTGTTGGTAAACAAGATTTCTTAAACAAAAATCAAAATTGTCATCACCCGAGTTGCTAAAATGCATATGCAGCCATGCAGGTCACTATGTGGCCATTGATGTCAAGCTCAAGGCACAGAAATAATAACAATCATAAGACCGTGTTACCTTTTGATAAGCAGAAATGCATTCAAAGAGAACATTCTCAGCCTGCACAAGCGAAGGATCCTCCTGTAATAACACATTCCGGTTACTCAAAGAAGAAGAGCCAATGAAATTATATTGATGAATGAGGGCACAACAAAGACGGAAGACTCGTTGCTCCTGGAATGTGACAATTGATCCACATGAATTCAATAAAATTAAATAAGTTTATTGTTACATCTTCTCTCTTCCCTCTGTCCTTATTTTTCTAGTTTTTAGTTTTGGAAAAGTAGTCCCTTAGATTTTTAGTCTTCACTTGTTCTTCCATTGTCCCTAGGATTCAACTTGATGCCAAAAATATTTTATGAAAGATCAACTGAACTGACCGACTCTACAACGGTTCACTCTCAGTTGGATGGCTGTTCTACAAAACTCCATCATGTATTTGCCCGCCTTCAAGATGAGTACAACTCACCAACTGGACCCAATATTAGCCACCACATAATCCGAGGAAGTGTAAAACAAATATCTTTATCTCAACTCTGTTACATATTATATATAATCGCACAATTCAAAAGAGATTTTATGTTTGTAGGGTCAAATGGTTGTACCTAAGATCAGTTGGGATTAAGTAAACCGGCCAAAATCCTCACAGATATTAAGACATATGCACACTCATATACATACGACACCAATACTACAGTTCAGAAGCAATTGTATGTTTAGGACACCATCACTTAAATAAGCCATCACTGCTAACCTTTGATACTTTCATCTCTTGCACGGTGATTTCCAAATGTCCTAGAGCATCAAGCGACTGTAACTGCAAACACAATATAGATGTCCAATTGACATGAGAAAATTCCCATCCATGAGTCTTGATCTCATTGAAATGACATAAACATAGAACGTGGATGAAACAACGTACAAACACACTGATGCACCTGGTATTTCAATTTCATGAGCTCCATTCTTTGTTTCTTTTGAAATAAAGAGAAACCTTAATTTGAGGTACTCTCTTAGTTAAATTATATCTGTTATATTCCTTAATATAAATGACCAACATCAAGACAACCAACATTGAGAGTAAACATTCTGTAGCGTGGATGCACATTCTCTCATATTGAGTTGATATGTATGAACAACAAACTTTAATCCAACTCCCAAAATGAAAATTTGGGTTCATTGTTTGGTTATAAAAAAATAATCAACATCAAGAAGATATTGTTCTATTCTGATTTTGATTTAGAATAATTATTCACATACTCACTCATTTCATTTTGGTCGACTTTGAATAAATTTACATTTAACGAAATAGCTACATCTAAAATAGTTGTTCAGCTCAAACCTTCAAACCTATTGGCAGTA